TTTGATTTTTTTGGAGTTTGTAAACTCGTTGGTAGATGTATAATATTCTAAGCTTATAAATAGTTGTTAGAATGTAATATTTTGGATTGTAAAGCATGTTTTARAAGTTAATCTACGTTTGGAGTTTATTAGTAGCTCTGCAATGTTTGTGTTTTTGAATTAAGTCTCGTTAGTGACACCGTCCGTTCCGGACCACAGGGACGGGGGATGTTACAGATATTGTGTCACAAATAAATCAATCATCAATATCAATACATGTATATTAAAAGAGAAAACAAAGGTAAGTGATGTGACAAATGAGGATCGAGTATTTTTAAATATTAATGGTGGTTGATTTTCATTATCTCATATTGGTAAGTAGATGCAAAATTGGAGGTAGAGATGCAATATATGAAAGGAGAGTGGGTACTTTTATGCCAAATCATGAGGTTGGCTCAATTTGACCCACCCTTTTTTTTTGCGAGAAAAATGTTTATATATATAATTTACAGAATATTTTTGTATTAAATAATAGAGTTGGTTCAATTTAACTTTCTTCTATTTTTGCAAAATTTCTATTCATATCAAAAAAAATTATATTAGTTGACTTTTATATCAATTGGTTTTTGTCTAGATCAGATATATTATATGTTCTTAGTTTGATATATAATATATGATTCTTCAGCTTACTTGGTATTTTATTTTTTATATGTGAATGCCCATTATACTACTTGGTGATGTAGTTATTTATTCATCGTCTTGGCATTACCACTAAAAAAGTCTTGCAAACTCTTTACCAAAGAAAACTTGTTCTCATTGTAGTTTCAAAATACATACGCTGACACACAACAAATTAATACAGTTGTACCTTTCACGAACCTATAAAAGAAATTTGCCCTTCAAAAGAGAAATAATTCAATGACACCACTGTAAGTTTGTTCCCGTGTCAAAGTTGTTGGTACTTGATTGGTAAGAAACAATAATAATTCACAAAATAAACCTTTCTTTCCATGGAGTATCGATTAAACACCGATGGTTTTTTCGCCGGATTGTTAACAACGGATACTCGAGAAATCATGTTTATGAAGGATTACCGACGATCTTATCCGACGCAAAATCATTTTCTTATTATTTAATTGACCATAATTTACGGACCACATACCATGGATCACGTGCGCTTTTTTTGACGGATCATCGAGGAAATTAATTTAATTTCTTTTTTAAGAAAATACATTGTTGCTGACGATATGTTAATAATGTCTTATTACCGACAGATTACGAGATTTTTCATAAAAAATAAAAATTTGTTTCATTTTCATGCACATTTGTGGGTGATAAGAAGTCTTATTGGTAATTAATGAATCATAAGGGGTTTAAATGGTACATCGTGGATTTTATTGGGCTTAATGAATCGTATTTGGTGTAACTGGGCCACAATTATTTTAGGCCTATGTGAGTCTTATTGAGTTTAAGTGGGCATAATGGACCTTAGGGACCGTTTACCTAAATGCTTACCTTGTAAATGCTTACCTTGTAAGTGCTTACCGATAGGATTCAACATTATAATTTATTTTGGTACGTAAGATTTTAATACATCAAAACATATCGTAAGTGCTTACTTGAGTAAGAGTCGACATCCTTACTTACCGTGTAAGAATCTCTATCCTTTTCATTGCTCTTACCCGGTAAGCACTTTCAATTGGTGATATATGGTCAGGGGAATCCTTATGTGATGAGTGGTTATCGAAAATCCTTCCGCGAAGAGGTCCGTTGGAATTTCCTTTCGGTGATATCTTTCGACGACCCATCCGTAAAGTCTTTACTCACAAAAGTTTAATTAAGCAACGTTTACCAACGTTTAATTAAAAGTGTCATATTATTGTTTATATGAGATTTTTGAGAAATGTCGAATGGAAACATTGTTTTATAACATTATTTAGAAAAAAACTGACTGGATGTTTTATTTTAAATTTCTTCTAACAATGATCGTTTACATATATTTTTTAAAACTAAAAAGTTACTCGTGCAATGCAGCGGAATACATCTTCATTTTAATATTTCGTTTTATTTTTTGTCTCTGTTGATATAACAAGATTTATGTAGTTTTAAAAAAGATAATGTTTTTATTTTTGAATAAAAATATATTTGAAGATATCATAAAAATTTGAAAAAATATTTCATATTAATATCAAATTAACCACAAGGGTGGTGCCTGATTGGTTTGAGTTTGGCTTCAAAGATCAAAAGTAGTAGGAGGTTATAAGTTCAAATCCAAGGAGAAATAAAAATCTTCTTGTGGCTATGTAGGTTCAAATTCGGTGACTCCGGGCTATCTGTAAAGCAGGTGCTCGCTTTGGGATTAGTCTGCTCGCATAGCGGGTTGGATATTCAGGTTAATAAAAAAAATTAACTATTTAAAAGTTTTGGGTTTTTGTATAATTTTTTTAATTCAAATTTTTATTATAATTTAATTTAGGTCTAATAGCGAAATAATTTATTTTTTGCTTAACAATATAACTTTTATAAAAATAATGATTCTGTTAGAATTCAATGATTATTCTAATTATATTTTAATTTTTTTATATTTAAAATAAAATGTTTATCATGTATTTGATTATATTTATCTGCAATTAGTTATACGAATTCAAAAAATGAAGGTTTAACAAGTTGTACTTATGCACAATTTACATGTAAGCTTAAATTTTAAGTAATATTCGAATGGTTTTAAAAGTTTTTGTCAAATAAAATAAAACATTTTCATGAGAGAAGTAGTAATTATTTGATAAAGCCTTGGCGAAGGTGGTTAATTGTAACCTCTAATCGTTTCTAAACAGATATAATTGTAATCGTACCCGGTGCTAGCAGACACTACGATTGCATTGTTAAAGAGCTTCCATGGCTAAAACAAACATGCATGAATACATCCATCATACACGAATCAACGTAGCCACCACTGATCAAAATGGTCATCTCCTGAACCACCATTACCATCACAAAAGTTGAACACAATGAGTTCTCGACCGAGCTCGCAAACCATTCGAGGCGCTACGAGATAATCCCGACACAAGGGGCAAGTCGTGTGCCGGTGTTCGAGGCAACGGTCCAAGCATTTCCGGTGAAACAAATGCTTACATCTCAGCACCCCTTTCTCCTCGTCTTCTTTGATATTCGATAAACACACTGCACACTCGACCAACTCGCCGGTCGGGGGATCTGTTAGGCTGTTTTCCGTCACCGGAAACACCGTCTGATGGTGGAAGAAGGAGAGGTGGATCAAGAAATCCCAAACCCAGTTGAGAAATGCAGACAAATTGAGCAAAGGATTAGGCGCCATTTTGAAATTTGACAGGATGTGGGTTGTGTTATCCAGTTTCAGTTTGAGAGAGGTGTTATATTTTTGGTTCTTTAAAGTTAAAACTGAATTTATTGAGATTCAGAAAGGTGCAGTGGTGTTATATCATGCATATGCACAAAATGGACACGTGTAAGCATTGGTTTCATTTCTTGCATATTTATTTTTTATTAACCTGGAAACCCGATCCGCTATGAAAGTCGACTAATCTCAGGATGATTACCTGTTTTGCAAATAGTCTGGAGTCATCGCTTTTGAACCTCCGTGGCCACAACGGGTTTTTTATTTATCATTGGATTTGAACCTGAGATCTCCTGGTATTTTTGACCTTTCTTGAATATTTATTAAAAATTGAACTTTTTAATTAATGTATATATAGAGGGAGTAAATTACAACGTTGGTGGTTTTCTTATTCGCTTGGATTAATTACCGAACTATTTAGTTTGCACTACACCTTTGTTAATCATGCATTTCGCACGTATGAGAAGTTTTTTTGCGGTTCGAGGCATATATGGTGTGGTTTATGGCTTGGGAAAGTCTTCACAGCGCATATATGTGCGGTTTATGATTAGCCCTAAACAACACCAATCTGCACCACGAACACCCCTAATTCTTACGAGCTAGGTCATTTATTGTAGCTCTATTAACCTTGATCCTTCAACTCAAAGGTAACTCCGCCAAATTCCCTATTAATTCAAAGTCTCTTTAAAAACACATCTTGTTACGATGGCTTATCGACGGAATTTTCTGTCAGTTAGAAAAGTCTAAACTGTCGGAAATCAATCTTGGTCATTTTACCGATAGATTTTCAAAGGCCATCACTGACAGATTTCCAAGGGTCCCTTTATCGATGGTTTCCCATGTGCCCGTTTTACCGAAGGATTTTCCAGGTATCCTTAGTACTGACGGTTTTCCAGGTGGCCTTATTACCAACCGTTTCGGCGAGTGCACTTATCGACAAATTTACGACTGACTTTCTTGCCGACGGGTTTCGGAATGACTTTAAGTAATAAAGTTTGAAATTTAATTTTTGTATAATTTTTAATTTAATGTATGTATCATGTGTGTATGTGTATATGTGTATATATGACCGATTTACTACAAAGTTATGGCATTAGACTATTAACTTAATTTATATTTTGATTTATAAAAAAATGTGTTGATTTTGATCGTATTATATATATATATATATATATATATATATATATATATATTTGCTAATTTTTAATAATAAATATCGATCTTTTTTTAAAACTCGGTTCGATTCGATCAGGTATAGGCCGATGTGGTCTGATTCAGCCTAAGTTTTGATCTCATCTACTCTTTATCAAATTCTAAAAACGATCGGCCTTTATCCAATCCGCTTCAAAGAACTTTGTGCCAATTTAGGACTACCGGTCTGATCTACTCCGGATGGATGACCTCACGGTTTGGTTTAAGTCGGGTCCGGTCTAGACCTGACCTAAGTGACCGGTTTGTTTTTGTCCATCTCTACATGCAGCTGTAAATTTTTCATTTAAATATTTATAAAGATAAAAAGGACATGTTTTATAGCCATAGAAAATGGCATCTCTACAGACTTTACCCACAAATATTACCGACAACCATAATCCGTTGGTAATTTCCGATGGAACAACTATGGAATGCACACCACGTGTACTTTTCTGGATGAAAAAAAATATTTAATGATTTTCCACGTGTCTGTTGCTCATCCTTTGATGATTTCATTAAAAAATAATTTAAAATTACCCATGGATTTTGAATTTTTTTTTTAATTCTAAAATCCACATAGCCATAAGCCACCATATGCAATTTCGTGTTTTTTCAAGTTTTGGTTATCCGGATGAATTTTAATTTGATTGATTTTGTATAATTTGCTGTATATGTATATGTATATGTATATGTATATGTATATGTATATGTATATGTATATGTATATGTATATGTATATGTATATGTATGCATGTGATGTGCATATGTTATCTGCTCAATATGTACATATGTGTATACATATTTTACATATATATGTGTGCTTGCATATCTACATGTATGTGTCTATATGTATAATGCATCTATGTGTGTTGGTTGCTAACCATATATGATGGATATATATGTATGTGTGTTATATACATATATATTGTATGTGTATATGACATATAGAATATGGATATATGTATGTATATATATATATATATATGTGTGTGTGTGTGTGTGTGTGTGTGTATATGTATATACAGGGGAGGAATCAAACGCAAACAAAATAATTTGTATAAAACCGTACAAACAATCTTCGTCTGTAAATTTAATGAAATTGTTTCATGAAACTGTTTAATGAAATTATAAAAGCTCTATTTTCTCTCTACAAATTCTCTCAATTTACTAAGGGAATCGATGTAACAACTATATATTTGGAATCCACTTTTTGAACCCTTCTTAAAAATATAAGTTTCTTTCGTTTTTATTAGAGTGTTTATGTTAGGGTATTTGAGGTTAGTTTATAATTGTGTATGTGATTTATATATGAATTAATATTTACAATTTATGGTTATATACATGTTTTGGAATGATGGGATTGGCTAAAATGATGTAGAAATAAAAGGGTAAATTATGGATTCAATATAGTTAGATTGGGTATATAAGATTAACCGCACATTAAGTGTTCGGTTAAATGTCTAAAAGAGCAAAATTGTATGATCAAGTTTAAAATTATAATCATTAAGGTTCTTTGTGGTGTTTAGTATGTTATGGTATGTTTAGAATATTTAAATGTTGCAAATAATTGAAGTTAGGATCCTAAAAGTGAGTTGGGGAAAAATTGTGGAAATCGGAATTTTGGACAGCTTCAAGTCTAGTACTTTGATAGTGTATAACTCACAAACGTAAGTCAGAATAAGCTCATATTTTGTAGTTAGAAATATATTACTGTATAATACAACTTTCATGAAGGGTCGAAAATCCAGTTATGACTCTAAGTTGGCTCGAAACAGTGTGTTTTTTGGGCTGTTTGCACTGTATTCGGGATTAATCTGTTGTTTTGTAATAATCATATAAAATAGATGAATGATCCAAATAAGATGATTCCAAAACTAACAGACTCTCATTACACCAAATTACAACTTTTATTTAGACAATATAATCTGGATTAGTCTCTAAGTATGGTAAAAATGTTTAAAAAGAAGAGGTACGGAAGCGGTTAGATCGAAAGAGCATAAGGCTAAGTTTTACGTTTGAGTTTCAATTCTTATTCGGTTGTCCTTCTTGAATTCTATATTGTTTAATTACATTAATACATAAGTAATTTTATTAGAATAATTATGTTATGGTTTTTATGTTTTGTAAATAGTAACTTGTTTATGCATTCGTTAGGCACGCAGACAAGTCAAACTTGATTGTGAATTTCTGTTTGATCGTACGTTAATTGTCAAATTTAATTAAGATACAGATATACTACCTCACTCGACACGGGGATAACCATTTGTATAACGCTTCCTAATCCGAATACATTGATTCCAAATTCTCATTGTGCTTATTAAATGCTATTGAACTTTTATTTTCTTTCGAAATATGATGTACGCTATTATTTGGAAGATAGATCATTTTGATCACTTGACTTGTTAGATTGCATCATTTATGAACCATTTCACTATAGACTCAATATTGGGAGCACCGGTATTGAGATGTTTCCATGATGACTAAAACAATCATGACATCCTCACTTATATAATCCTTAAAAGTGGACTAGTCGAATAGAGGGCGTATGGATCGATCATAGGAACCGTTATCGGACAATAAATTGTGGTCGTGGTTAAATCCACGGAGAGGATTGTTGTGTTCGCACCCCTTTCCTCACTTATGCCCGAACGAACTGATCATCCTTTGAGAACAACGCGTCCGCGTGAGACGGTTTGGTCTTCGGACCTTTGACATGCCTTCGGGGTATTTTGACTTTCTTTTGGATTATCACTTAACGTTATAAATTGCTTTTGAACTTGTYATCTCATATTCATTGTTTAGTTATTATTATCCGTTCACTGAGCATTAAATTCAGCTGAGATTTTCTTGTCCTCAACAGGTGAGCAGGCTCCGTAAGATCTAGTTCACTTAACTTCAGATTGAATTTAATAGTATACAAATGCATTCATTTCCTCTGCATTGACTTATCAGTGATTTTGGGGTGAGAGCTATGAAGATAACAATATTGAAGATAACTCATTATGTCATACTTTTGTTAACTTTTGATGACTAATGCAGATATACTGATAATTTGGGACCGTATTTTGAGACACGTTATCTTCGTTTGTGGTTATGCAATTATCTTTTGGTAAATTTTATTAACTGCTCTATTTTACATAATGCATTGAATTTTATATTTTCTTTTAAAAATCTAATTGTGGTATCTTCCGTCTTTAACCCCGCAGGACGGGGGCTAGAGGTCCTAGGTTCGAATCCAAGCAAGGAATAAAAATGCCTTGTGGCCACGGAGGTTCAAATGCGGTGACTTGGGGTTTCTCGCGAAGCGAGTGGTCGCCCTGGGATTAGTCAGCTATGTCTAGTCACGTCGTCATTGAGTTGTCAAATTAACCAAAAAGTTGCGTCAAAAAATTAACATGTACAATCGTCCCATTTGTCTAGTTACGTCGTCATTGAGTTGTCAAATTAACCAAAAAGTTGTGTCATAAAAAGTTTTCATTACAGGACGAAATAACAGTCAAAATCGCCCCCGGATGGGTGATTTGCAATAGTAAATGGCGATTTTATCCCCCAAATGATATGTATGTGGGACCTATCCGTACCCTCAAACTCCAAATCGTCCCCAATAAAGTAAAATCTCCCTCCAAGGGCGCTTTTTGTGGTCATTTTATGAAAAAATTCTGAAAAATAGTAATTTTGTTAGTGTATCATGTATAAATTGGTCATTTTTGGTAGTTTCCTTATATAATATATATTTTTTTAAAATATATAAATGGTGCAGTTTGAACCCC